TCCGCATAGCAATGAATGTTACCAGTTAGCAACATATCATTGATATGCAGAAGAAACAGCGTTGGTGATAGCACACAGCCTTGTGGAACACCAGCGTTAATAGGCTTGTAGTCAGAACATGCACCGTCTACAACGACCTTGATGCTCCGATCTGCAAGAAAGCTGGTGATCCAATTGCACAATTTCTCGGGAAGCCCATAGGAAGGCAGCTTCGAAAGAAGCGCTTTGTGCCAAACCCGATCAAAGGCCTTCGCAATGTCCAGACTAACGGCCAACGCCTCCCCCTTGGACTCTACTGCCTTCGCCCATCTATGGGTCAGGTAGACCAGAAGATCACCAGCTGATCGACCCCGACGAAAACCGTATTGGCGGTCACTAATCAGCTGGTGATCCTCAAGGTACCGGATGAGCTGGCAGTCAGTATATCAACAAATAAAAAACACATTATATTTCTACATAATCTTCATTCCATAAAAGCTATATCCAATTTTTTTTAAATGAATAAATATTAATATAATCTCCTTACAACGAAACCACATAAATGTGAAATTATTATTGATAACATGCATCTCCTCGTAAAGTAAGTATTATTTTATTTTGCGATTTACACCAATGGATAGGCAATTTATTAATGAACATTTCTATAGTAAATTTTTTTCAAAAGACCAAAATTTGATTTTATTAAGAAATTATTTTAAAATCTGGGCATATTCACTGCCCTCACTGACATGGAGTCAGTGAGCGCTGAGCTCTTCGATGTGTAGCCCGTGTCGTTAGAGCGTCGACCAGCGCATACGCTCACGTCATATCAGTCGATAATATTATTACTTATTAGGTTATTTATAGGTAGTATTATTTGTTTGTTTTGGGTATAATTTTTCGTATTAGTTATACATATATTTGTTGTGTTTTTTACTGCGCGATGAAGCTTTTTGCGTGTATTTTCTTTGAAGTAAATTCAAATAAAAAAATGAAGCACCATTAGCATGTAAGGTTCGAATCCATAATTAAAATTTCGACAAATATTATAATTTACACTATAAAAGGCTAATTCAATATTATCACCCAAACACAATATCTTATTAGTACTGCCTCGTTGGTCTAGTTTTTGTAGTAGTGCGACTGCTGGTCATGAGGTCCCGGGTTCGAATCCTGGGTCGGGCCAAAAAGTCAGTTATGAGTTTTTCATTTATGTTCTAAGTTATAATTAGTATTACTAAGTTATAGTTTTTTGCTAAAATATAGTAGGTATATTACTTATTGCTTGTTCTTTCTTCTTTTTCAAAAAATAATTGAGTACATAAGGTGTTCTATACTTATAATTCGGTAAAAAGTATCTAAGTAGGTACTAATATACCTACTTTTTACTATTAACTAAAAAAATTTAAAACTAAATTTAACTAAAAAGACTAAACTGACCATTTATTTTTTAACTCAAAACAGGACATGTGTTTATTTATACTCTAAAAACTATAACTTTATACAATTAGTGTTCACTATAAAATTATATTCGGTATAGACGGTAATTATTAAATGCAACATATTTTTTTAATTATTAATTATATTTGTCAGTGGATTAAATTTGCTTTATTCAAGTTGGTGATGATTTTAAATAAGAATAAAATTCTGCTCAAGTTTTTTTATTTTTATCTTTGTTAACAACATCGCCTTTAGAACTCTGGAACCGTAAGTGTTTCTTTCAGACGTCCACAATTTATTCAAAATAAAAAAAATACTCTTTCTACCGGAGCATTCGTACCAGATAGACATAAAATATATTCGATTAAAAAAAATTATGTTGAAGATTGTTGACTTTGAATACTTCCATCCAACGAGTTACGGGACAATTTTGTGTCCCGGAGCTTTGTTTGGGGACAATGGGACAGGTGACCGAGAAAAGGGACAGTCCCGTTCAAAACGGGACGTATGGTCACTTTAGCTATGACCCAGCGACGGCTCCGTGGCGCAGTGGCTTAGCAATCAGTTGTTGCGCTGGGGGCCGCGGGTTCGAATCTCGCACGGAACAAGTATTTGTATGGCCTACAAATAATTGTTCCGGGTTTGGATGTTTGTCCTTGTGCAATTTATGTTTGTAAACTGCCTCCACGACACAGGAGAAAATCCTAGTGTGGGGGTAACGTTTTTTTACAATTGAAATTGAAAGATTGAACCCTTATACTTCTTGTTGATTTTTGTATTACCTTTATTAAAGTTACCCTTATGTATAAATAAATATAATTACGTATGTAGAAATAAAATTGATTTTCATCCTCATCAATCATTGGGGCGAGGATAATGTCTGCCAGCATAAGTAATAAGCAGGCTAAGTTACAAGGTGCTCAGTTAAAAAATTTAACTGAGCACCTGAACCTGAACCTGCCTGATACCTGAACACGTAAAAATTAACAATAATCAAAAACACATCTACGAAACTTCCTATTTATTTATTTATTCTTTATTGCACCAAATATTTGTACAAAAGGCGAGCTATCTATTTATTTACCTATAGTGAATAGGTATCTTTTAAACTCACAATTTTCAATGCTTCATTTTTAATATATAATTAATTATAAAATTTCATAATTAGATAATATATGAAAATACATAATTCTAATATAATGCAACTAATATACAGAATAAAAAAATTAAAATACATTTATCGTTGTACGCTGTGTGTATTTCCATAAATTAGTTTATTGATGTTGAAAAAATAATACTACGTTCTTACCTACAATAGGTGGCGTCTTACATATTTCATATTGTACTCCTTACCTTACCAGGTCAGGAGTAAGTCAAGGTAGTAATTTGGGCCCCCTGAAGTTTGTCCTAATGATTAATGATCTACCCGATGTTGTATGGCAATCAACATGCCTTCTATTTGCGGATGACCTAAAATTGGTGTCAATAGTTAGGGACTCAGCTGACTGTGACAAACTACAGGCGGACATTGACAGAGTAGTACAATGGAGTCATAGGAATAAGTTATTTTTTAACACTTCCAAATGCTCAGTCATGTCGTTCACACATTCACGCCAGCCTCACACATACAAATATAATTTAGACGGAGTAGCCTTGCAGCGCGTAACAGAAGTAAAAGACCTTGGTGTGCACTTCACTTCGAAACTCAATTTTAGGGAACACATTCTTAAGATTTGCAAGAAGGCGTATAGAAATTTGGGATTTGTGTTACGTCAGTCGCGGGAATTTACAAATCTCTGTGCGGTCCGGGCCTTATATGAAGCACTAGTGAAAAGTCACCTAGAGTGTAATGGATTTGTATGGAGCCCGCATGAGGCTAAATACAAATTGATGGTGGAACGGATACAAAATAAGTTTATTCGATTTCTTTATTTAAAACTATATGGAGTGTATCCGTTCTACCCATTAATGTACCCAACATTATTTGTTCTAGGCATGGTGGGGTATAACAAACTGGAGGTTAGGAGGGAGTTAAGTTTGGCAACATATATGTTTAAATTGCTGCGTGGAAAAGTGTATAACGAGGCGATATTGCGAATGACTAAGTTGTGTGTGCCGGATAGGTACGTGTGGCGCCGGAAGCGGCCTCCGCTGTTCGCGGTACCGCGCGCACGCACCAACCTTCTAAAGGAGGCCCCACTGACCCGAGTGCTGCACACTCTAAATAAAGTAGCTCAGGATGTAGATTTATTCTGTTGTTCCTTGGGTGAATTCACAAAAGTGACATTATATATATTGTGTTATAATAGTAGATAAGTTGTGTTCTGTCCTTGTTAAATTAGATAGTTTATGTGCCTACACTGTCGTATTAGGTACGCCTGTAAAGACAGAGGTAGAAATAAATAAATAAATAAATAAATAAATAAATAAATAAATAAATAAATAAATATTAAGCAATATATTGAAGCGAGCGGCGCGCCGCCGGCAAAATGCTCAAGGTCGTTTGCATGGAGTAGCCCCTTAAAATGAGGTGTAATATTTGACAGATTTCATAGCGAGAAAGTTAATTTGTTCGAAAAATGTATGGAGTGTAAAGTACAAGGAGAACCATCTTATAAGCGGCGAAAGTTGAAAAAGTGTCCTACTATTTACTGAAAATAGAGGTTCCAAAACCTACCACAATAACGCTGGCGTCTGAAAAACTACGATAGAAAGTTAGCTGTTGTAGACGGACGGTGTGTTGAAGTCAGTTGAATTCAAATATTTGAAAAATTTCATGACTAGAGTAGTTAGTAAAATGCCAGTATACAAAACCTCAACTATTTACGTAGTACAAAACCAAGCGGATTGGTCGGTCCTTGTTAATTTCTCCATCTTATTCTAATTAATTTTGGCGCTTTTTTTTTTAATTTATCCTATGCTACTGCAGCACCACCCTTATTGGACGCGTTTTTAGGGACACTTTTCATATAAGGAGATGGTCCTTGTACTCTACACACCATAGAAAAATGTAAAGGTAATTAGATTAAAAATAAATAAACCAAACCACAGATATTCATAAAAGTAGAAAAATTTAAAAACATGTTAAAAATGTGTAAAAAATGAAAGAGCAAACCACTGAGGCAATGTTTTGCGTATTAATATAATACTCTAGAAACTGATAAACTTTTATTAAAAACGAACTTCTCAATTAAATGACATTGTGTAACAAAAGATTTCATCTCAGTGTCAACTAGCGACATCTAGTGAACCGAAGATTATTAACCCTCATTGTTAAACTTGTGTATACTTTTTTTTCTTTGACTTTGACTCGTATACGGTTCCTTTTGCCAGTTTCAAGTTATAAGATAATATAGTCAGCGGCGTAATTAAAAATTTGTTCACTAAATGTGAACTCTATCTGTAGCAAAACGTGTTTTTAACATTCCCGCCATTTGTAAAAAAAAGATACTATTTTGGTAGCGTTTGTTTTTGTTGCATTGGAATAATAACGAATTTTTTTTTCATAAATGTGTTTTGCATCTATCATACATACGTTTACACTCTAACCAGATTTCTAATAAGTAATTTTTGAATTTCAGCACGACAAAATAAACGGCAAGTGGCAGTTAACATGCCAGCATGGCGCGGATGAATGCTACGGGAATAAGGTAAGGAATAATAATGCCCTCCAGACTCAACGGACACTAGCCATCTGTGCAGGACAGGATTATAGTGCACGAGTGTGTGCGCAAGCACAGGTGCACTCTCTACTGCCTCGCTGTCACAGACCGACCGGAGAGAGATCAGGCGCAGGACCAACGACCTTACATGCTTTCCGAGGCGCGGGCGTGATACACCGCCAACTTCCTGGCTGCTAATGAGAATTACTCGACAGAAAACCCAATAACCGACATTCGAACCCGGGGCCTAGAGATCATCAGTAGCGTTTACAACCACGAAATAGTCAGTCCAAGGCAGTAGTTTGAAGAAATAATATAATTGTATAAAACTATTTTTACGGATTTTTTCTCGCGTTTAATTTTCATCATTCATCATCATTACAGCCCTTCACAAGTCCACTGCTGAACATAGGCCTCCCCCAAAGAATGCCACAAAGCACGGTCCTGAGCCACCTGCATCCATCGACTTCCTGCATGTCTTACCAGGTCGTCACTCCATCTCGTGGGGGGACGCCCTACACTTCGCCTAACGGTACGAGGCTGCCACTCGAGAACCTTTCTTCCCCATCGGTTGTCGGTTCTTCGAGCTATATGGCCAGCCCACTGCCACTTCAGCTTACTAATCCGTTGGGCTATGTCGGTCACTCTGGTTCTACTGCGGATATCCTCATTCCTAAGTTTATCACGCAGAGAAACTCCGAGCATAGCCCTCTCCATAGCTCGCTGAGCGACCTTGAGCTTCCTCATACGGCCAGCAGTGAAGGACCACGTCTCAGTTCCGTAAGTCATCACTGGCAACACGCACTGGCTGTACAATTTCGTTTTAAGGTTTTGAGGTATGTCTGACGAGAAGATGTGTCGTAGCTTCCCGAACGCTGCCCAGCCGAGTTGAATCCGTCGATTGACCTCTCGGTCGAAGTTGGACTTACCTAGTCGGACTATTTGTCCGAGGTAAACATACTCGTCAACAACTTCGAGCTTAGTGCTCCCAACAACTACCGGCATAGGTGTGACATGGACATTAAACATGATCTTTGTTTTGTCCATGTTCATCTTAAGACCTATCCGTTGGGAAACACTATTGAGGTCATTGAGCATAGTGCTTAGGTCCTCCAGCGATTCTGCCATAAGGACTATATCGTCGGCAAATCGAAGGTGAGTGATGTACTCGCCATTGATGTTGATACCGTATCCTTTCCAGTCCAGAAGCTTGAAAACATCTTCCAATGCAGCGGTGAAGAGTTTCGGGGATATGACGTCACCCTGTCTTACACCTCTCTGCAATTGGATAGGTTTCGTACTCTGGTTCTGTACTCGGATAGCCATCGTAGCCCTACTGTACAAGCACTTCAACACTTCGATATACCGACAGTCAACTTGGCACCGCTGAAGGGACTGCAGCACCGCCCAAATTTCGACGGAATCAAAGGCTTTCTCATAGTCCACATACATAGTGGCAAATTGTACTCTTCGGACTTCTGTACAACTTGCCGAAGGGTATGTATGTGGTCTATGGTGCTAAAGCCCTTTCGGAAACCAGCTTGTTCGGGAGGCTGGAAGTCGTCAAGTCTGCGCGCGAGACGATTCGTAATGACTCTCGAAAACAGCACGTAGACGCGGCTCAGAAGGGAAATCGGTCTGTAGTTCTTCAAGAGAGCGTTGTCACCTTTCTTGAAGAACAAGACCACCGCACTTCTGCTCCACGCCTCCGGTGTAATGCCACCATGGAGGACGGAATTAAAGAGCTTCTGAAGGACTTCAAGTATCGGTCTTCCACCCGCTTTCAGAAGCTCCGCTGTAATTTCATCCTCGCCTGGGGCCTTACCGTTTTTAAGGTGCTGGAGAGCCATCCTAATCTCGCTCAGACTGACATCCGGGATATCTTCGGAATAGTGTCGGATGAGACTCGCTCTTGGATCGTTACTCACACTTGCGTGTGGCTCCAACGATGATGTGTACAGCTGCCCATAGAACCTCTCAATCTCACTCAAAATCTCAGGTGTCCCGGAAACGATGCTGCCACATTCTGTCTTCAGCTTTGACAGTTGGCTCTTTCTGGCAGACAGATCTCTGGCAAAGACTTTGGAGCCTTGGTTCCGCTCGATCGCTTCTTCAATACGAGCTGTATTGAAGTTGCGTAAGTCCCGCCGCATGCATTTGGAGATCTGTCTGTTCAGATGCCTGTATGCTGTCAAGTCTGTTGAAGAATGTAGCTTCATCTCCCGTCTAACAGCCATGAGATTAAGAGTGTGATCGGAGAGTTTTTGTGTTCTTCTGCGGCGGGTCTTGCAGAACTTAGCTCCGACCGCATGGACAGTTTCCACGAGCTTGTCATTCATATCGTCCACTTCATTGCAGTCTTCCAGGCACTGAAAACGGTTTTGTAACTCGAGCTGAAAGGTTTCGGGACTTTGGAACAGAGCACGAGGGGGACGGAGCGTTGACTTCATTAGACGAGACCTCTCCAACTTAACGTTTAGGTTTAGTGTGCCTCTAACTATTCGGTGATCGCTACCAGTTTTCACCCTCGCGATCACGGAGACATCACTGAACAGTTGTCGTCTGGTCGTCATAATGAAGTCAATCTCATTTTTTGTGGAACCGTCGGGGCTCGTACGTTTAATTTTACTTATCTATAATTCCCGATGTTTGATGTATGGAGTGTAGAGTACAAGGAGAACCATCTTATAAGAGGCGAAAATTGAAAAAGTGTCCTACTTTTTACTGACAATAAAGGTTCCAAAACCTACCACAATAGCCCTGGCGTCTGAAAAACTACGATATGAAGATAGCTGTTGTGAACGGAGTGAAGTCAGTTGAATTCAAATATTTAAAAAATTTCATGACTAGAGTAGTTAGTGAAATGCCAGTATACAAAATCTCAACTATTTACGTAGTACAAAACCGAGCGGATTGGTCGGTCCTTGTTTATTTCTCCATCTTATTCTAATTACTTTTGGCGCTTTTTTTTAAATTCATCCTATGCTACTGCAGCGCCACCCTTATTGGATACGTTTTTAGGGACACTTTTCATATATAGGGATGGTCCTCCTCCACTCTACATTCCATAGTTTGATGTCACGGGTACAGACTAATGTGGTGCTTACGTTTGACGTCCCATTTTTTTTATAACTGGCTTTACGGCTCTGGGTTCTAGCCCTTCTGAGCCTGAAGTTAAATGTTTATTTATCCTTCATAGTACTCTGATTCACAATATGTTGATGCGTCACATTGTGCAGCCCTTGGGAGATTTTGACGGCAACTTGAGCCAGCAGAAAGCTGACAGTTGGCGATGGTATCTCAGGGCGCCTAAGCAGACAGACACCTTATTTTGAGAATCACATCACCATCAGAGCACTTGTTTCACCGTTTCCACTAATAGTTCACATGCGCAGATATTTAATACACAAAATCGCACCACTTTTACATATCAAAATCCACTTCAAACCATTATTTAAACAATAATACAGGAGCAGCAATCCGTCGCCGGTCAAGTTCCCGCCAAAACTCCAATTCCCGATGTTTGATGTCACGGGTACAGACTAATGTGATGTTTATGTTAGACGTCTCAATGTCAAAATTAACCCGGAGTATCTTTAGTTTTTTAATTAATAATTTTGGTCCGATCTACGCAGAATGAGTTTAATGGTATGGTTGCGCGCCACGATTAATACAAGGTACATGGCGACACTAGTTCCCACTAGCGCCCTCTAGTATCGAGTTGCAGAACTAGGAGAGTCAAGAAGATTCTAGAAAGTTCTTCCATGGAAATTTGTTGTGTTCGCGTAAATATAGACACCGGCACAATTAGCGGAACACAAAAAAACCAGGATTTTAAAATCTTTTACTTGAGGAACTGGCCAGTTATGATATTTTTTTAATTTATTGTCAAATTTGAAAATAGAAAATTAGATGACATACACTTTTTTCATTCATTTGTTTTATTTTCCCGAACAATACGTTTTGTCAACTTGTTCGAGTAATAACTACGTAATTGTAATTTTTTGAAAAATTGCACTTAATGGTTTTTTATAAATTTGTTATTCTATAGGCAATTTTGTTTATTAAAAGCTCTTTATTATGCCTGACTTAACATCACTGGAAATCATTAGGGCTGATGAAATGAGAAGAAATGGCCATACCTACAGATCAATTGCCTCAAGGCTTCGTCGACCAGTATCAACGATTCATCGCAGCATCCAGCGGTACAGATCGTCTAATTCTCTTGTGAGGAGGAGGGGTCAAGGTAGAAAAAGATGTACATCGAGGCGAGATGACAGTTTTTTACAACTTGGATTTCGTAGGAATACGCGATTAACGGCTGTACAAGCTCGAAATGAACTGGAAAACGTTCGAGGAGTACGAGTAAGTGAGCGTACAGTTCGCAGGAGATTTGAAGAAGTTGGTTTAGGGTCGTATATACCTGCCAAAGGCCCAAAACTTGAGAGACGTCACCGCGTAAACCGATTAAGCTATCCGCGAGAACATCGTCATTGGGATTTGAACGAATGACAGCAGGTTCTCTTTAGTGATGAGTGCAGAGTTCTTTTAAAACAGATCGATGGGAGACAGCGAATATGGAGACGCAAAGGAGAACGCCACATACAGTCTAATTTTGAACACACGGTGGCTTATGGTGGCGGCTCGATTATGGTTTGGGGAGGGATATGTTTGGGAGCTCGCACGGAGTTAGTGATAGTCACAGGAGGGACCATGACAGCAGATCGACACATCAGAGACATTTTAGAAGAACATGTTGTACCATTTGCCCCATTTATTGGTGACGACTTTATTCTAATGCAAGATAATGCTCGTGCTCATAGTGCACAATCGGTACAGGCATATCTGAGCCACGCAGGTATACCTGTGATGCAGTGGCCAGCAAATTCCCCCGATATGAATCCGATAGAGCATGTCTGGGACTTGCTAAAAAGAAGGGTTAAATCCAGAATGCCACCCCCCAAAAATCTGAATGAACTTGGAAACGC